TATCTATCTATCTATCTATCTATCTATCTATCTATCTATCTATCTATCTAAACATGTCAAGATAGCAATTCATACTTGATAAGTAAGAAGTAGAACTAATCCATCGAGCAAGAGGAAAGAACTCTCTTCTCCTCTGTAGGTAAGGTGCTGTGCATTGCTGGTAAGCAAATGAAGCTGAATATGGACCTGTGATTGGAACAGTGTCTAAAAGAAACTCATGCATGGAGAGGGGGCTACTACTTTGGACTGAGGATCTGGCTTTGTATGCATACTGGGGTTTCAATGAACTGATACGGTCTGCATAGGGCAAAAGCAGACTTCAGTTCTTTAGATGTGAGCATCAGTCTTCTAGAGAAAGTTTTTTTCTGATTCTGAGAGATCATCTATTTTTAGATTGATGTTTTCCAATATTTTAAGGGATTTCTTTATGCTTTTATTAGCATATCTAAATTATTCAAAATGGGTTTATTTTGATTTCTAATACCTGTGAATAAAATGTTTTGATCATATTCACTTAATTACTCTTTCTTTTTTCCCACTCCTTCTAATCTCTTCCTCCTCCCAACTAGCCCCCTTCTACTTTTGTGTCTGTTTTGTGGCAGAGTGAGGAGTATGGGTGAGGGATTATTTATAGAAATAAATAATGGCCACACCACTGAAGAAAATGTTGAAAGAGCCCTTTATAGATTCCGAGAAACTGGGCAGTTGACAATTGTCCTTAACTCATAAAAGGACATGAGGACAAAAAGAAATCTTAGGAAAGAGGAGAAATTGCACCTGAGATGCTCTGAGAATAGAATGAGAATTTAGTCCCTGACTCTCAGAGCAATCCAGCCTCAAGGTGTGGCTCACTGTCCCACCCACCCACCCACCCACCTGAAAAACCGGTAAGCAGAGATCAATGTCTTCTATTGTGGGTGTTATTGGGAGGATCATGGCTCTGGACTCTTCCGCATTAGAGTTAGTTTTCGTATTTACTGAAACATGAACTCTTTGTGATGCACTCTTTAGTGTTTCATCAAGTCTTAGTTGGAATTCCAGCCGATCAAATACCAGGACTCGCACTTCACATATGTGTTTCTTTCCTTCATGTGCATAAAGACGCAATGGTTGCCTGCCTCCTCCTTGAAGCCCTTTTAAGTTTTAGCAATTGTAGGATATATTGTCTAATATATTTCTGTGGAATACAGGTACAACAATAGCACTGAGAAAGCCGCCATTTAAAAGTCTGGCTTTAGATTGCTGATTATTAATTCTACAAAGAGAATTATTTTGATAAAGAAAGACCCAATCGGTTGAGCTGATCTAACAATTCTTATAGAATACCTCTTCTATCACTGCAAAAATGGCTTTAGTCTTAAAAAAAAAAAAACAAAAACAAAATGAAACAGAATCACACTTACCCTTCTACATACACTCGGAGAAGAACATCCATGAGGAAAAATAAAGCAATAGCTAAAGAAATTGAACGATATTCCAAAGGGATATGCATTTTGTTTCCAGACATATGTAGATCTATAGCCACGAGAATTATGTCCATAAAGATCAGCAAAACTCCAAACAGTCTAAAATAAACAGATAGCAGACTGGAGGTGCTGCCTCCCTGGTAACACAGTATTAAAGCCAATGATCAGGTGCCCCCCAAAGTCTTTTTTTTAGAACTAAACTGTCTTATGAGAGAAAGAATAATGTTGCTTTAGAATCTTAAAAAAATGTTCAGTTTTCACCCAATAAAAGTAGCGGTCAGTAGATAAAATCTGCACCAACCCATTCCCTATGGCAGGGATATTGTAGGAATGAAGTCACATTAATGCAAATACGTTTAAGGCTTTAGCAACAAAAAGAAGTGAAAGCAAGAATAACATACCCCTTTAAAAACACTTTAACTAGAAAAAAAGTTTTTCTCAGTGAAAATTTCAAAGCATACATGATTACATATTCATGGGTGCACACATGGATCCCACACACAGGACAGATACATGAGAAAAAAATCAGCTCCATAAATATTTGCATGATTAATCCAACTCTTTAAGTGTCCCTACGCCTTTCTTGTATAGTCTCAAAAAACTCCTTACAAATTATTTATTTTCCTACACTACAAGGATGAATCGATTCAGCTTTAAAATGCTTTCTCTTTAAAAACTAAAGATTCAACTGAAATGTTATTCGTCTGGAAGTTTACCAGATGGCTCAGTAGTAAGACAGCTGCCACTCAAGTGTGATGACCTGAGTTGCATCCTCAGCACCTACGCAAAAGCTTGGGTCAGGGCAGTGCCTGTGATCCTTGCTCTAGGGAGGCAGAAACGGAAGGACGCCTGGAGCTCGTGGCCCAGCCAGCCTATCAGTGAACACTGTGTACCGTGAGAACTCCTAGTAAAAATAATAAGATGACAAGAGGTTGAAGAAATCCAACACTGATTTATGTCCTTATATACACATACACACAGACACACAGACACACAGACACACACTCATATGCACAGACACACATACACACAGACAACACAGACATACACACATATACACATAGACACAGACATACACACACATATACATACAGACACACAGAAAGAGATACAAATAACACACATACATACACACACCTGCAAACACACACACATACTTATGCAAATATGTGAAACTCCATGCACACATACCATATCAACTTTAAAAGAAGCGATTACATTATATTAATATGAATTACCACGTAGAAAAGAAATCTAAGTAAAATATGTCTGGAATTGGGTGTATAGAACATTTAGCCTGTAATTACAGAATTTAAAAGTGCATGCTTTCTCCTTCTTACTTTTATGAGTAGAAAAATATTAATATGCTACTACTTGGGTCTGAGTAAGGGTTAGTTCTTCGAACATCTCAGTCTTCAGTGTTAAGCACACCTCCGAGCTCTCACCAACTACTTCTTCTAGACCCCACATACCTGAAAGCAACCGAGGACACAAGGTAGTGCACAAATTTCTTAATCTGGTTGCTGTAAAAGTTAGTAAAGTTAAATCAGTCATAGATTCCCCCTAACATATGATAAACTTAGCAAAACAAAAGCCCTTTATATGCATAAATTTTAAATAAAAGACCCCATCAGTTATATACCAAAATGTTCTGTGCTGGTAACTAAAATGTTAACATTGTTGTTCCTATTTAGAATATATGTGAATGAAACACTGTTTCATTCATTTTGGGAATTTAGTACCATATCTTGCACGTAAAGCTCCAACTCCAACTTTCAGGGAACTCCAGCTTTGAACTTGAGACTAACCAAATAAAGCATCATGCCATGGAGGTGGAAAAGAGTGCTTTCCAAAAGGTGTTCCAATATCAGATCTTCCATTAGCAAATTAGGATTTGGGGCAAATCCCCAAACTCAGAGAGACCTCAGTGTCCTAGCAACAAAATAATGGATTTCTTTCTAAAAACACAAGTTAAAGAACTCATCCCAAACTCATTCTGTAAAGCCACCATTTTTCTAATGGCCAAACCAGTTAAAAACACAACAAAACTACAGGCAGATAAGCACAGATACAAAAATCCTCAGTAAAACACTAGCACACTGAATAAAAACACATCTTTAGAAAATCATCCTCCATGATAAAGTTGGCCCAACCCTGGAAATGTAATGTTGATTAAACATCCATGAGTCAATAAATATGATGAATACACAAGTAACTTCAATCAGGATGAGACGGGGCTGCCAATTATCCCCACAATACGGTGCTAAAAACACTTGCTAGAGCAATAAGGCAAGAGAAGGGAATTACAAGTTAACAAACAAAAAAGAAGTTGAATTATCCTCATTTGAACATGATATGATGCTGTATATGAATATGAGAGACCCCAAAATTCCATTAGAAAACTGCTTGAAATAATAACAGTTTCAGCAAAGTGGCATGGCACACAACAGCTTACAAAAAGCTTTTTGATACACAACAGCAAACCTACAGAGAAGGCGATCATGGACACCCTGACTTACCACAGCATCAAAGACAACAAACTATCTTGGAGTAAACCCAACCAAGTAAACAGTTTTTAAGCTAGAAAAACTATTATTTGTGAGTAAACAAAAATGTTTTTTCCAAACATGGTATTTGTCTGCAAATCCCATTGGTTATTAGTAAGTAATTTTTCACATTTCTTTTTCATCATTTCTGTCTCAGTGCAAGCTCTGTTTTCCCAAAGATAAAAGATCCACCCATGGCTGTTTCTCTCCCTTCAAATAATAAACTCACTTACCAGTATGAGTCGTGAATATCGACAAATTCATCACCATCGTACAATATGGACATCTGTTGTAGCTTGCTTTAGCACCAACAAATTCAAAGAAACACTATTAGAGATTGCTACATTTAACACTAATATAAGAAATAAATCAACTAGAACCTCTTTGAGTGCAAAAGATACAACTTTTTACAAAAAAAAAAAAAATTAGAATCATTGTTCAGAAAACTTTCTTCTCATGGACAATTCCAAGTCTTGATTCTACAAATTTCTCTTTTCTCTCCTGTGTCTTGCTTTGTCTCTGTCCATGTATATATCCAGACAGTCCTTGATGACACCATCATTGCAACATGAAACATATCAACCTTTTAACAAAGTAGTCTAAGACTACAGATAATCATTGTATTTAAGTCAACACTAAAGATTAAAAATAATCATGTAAGAGCTGAGTGAATTCAAAGATTCATTTGGGGTTGAAATATACACAATTGTCCTACAGTTTATAATGTTGTTAAACACTTAAAAGTTATATGCTGGAGGCTGGAGAGTTGGCTCAGAGACTAAGAGCACTGGCTGTTCTTCCAGAGGTCCTGAGTTCAATTCCCAGCAACCACATGGTGGCTCACAACCATCCATAATGAGATCTGGTGCCCCCTTCTGGCCTGTAGGCATACATGTGGGCAGGATATTGTATACATAATAAACAAACAGATAAAAAAGCAAACAAATAAATATATTACCCCATCTAAGCCAACCTGTAGTATCATTTTGGAGGTTACATTTATTTCAAAATTCAACTTGAAAGTGTAGGTAGTTAAAAATATTGCCCTTTCTAATTTCATGATTTACAAGTCCTTCTACAACCCCATAATTTTCATATACAATGGAAGTTTTTCTTGCCCTTGGATAGTATTAAAATAACTAAAGGTATGAGAGAAGGCCTCCACTGTGATAATGGCCATGTGTCTGAGACACCAAAGTTCTGGAGAGGAAGAGACAGGTTTAAGGTCTATTAATTTGATCCTTTTTTTTTTTGCCTAGGGTTCCACTTTCTCTGCTTACTGTCACTTCCTTTCTTGCTCCAAATAGGACTTTTTCCTCTCTTGCTCATTCACATGGGTGGCCGCAGATTAGGAATAAAACACTCTCTTCTAAGCATTTCCTCTTTTAACTAAGGCAGAAAGGTACCAACAGATGCTACAGCAAGAAGGCTTTTAAAAATAATATCACCCTCTATATTGTCCCGATACGCCCTTGGGACTTCTCAAATTGCAGTATCTTTCTTTTCTGTGTATCCAAATACATTGAGATGTATGCATTTCTCTGTATATGAATATATAAATATATTTGTTAGATCTCACCATGTGCTGAGGTTCTGTTCATCGATTTCATTGATTTCATCAATTCCTGGCATTAAACTATATAAGGCAAAGCTAAAGTAGTTAAAAAAAACAAAACAAAACAAACAAACATAGTCAGACACCACCTGATTTCCCAGAACTGACTTGTTTGTGCAAATTAGCTCTACATAATGGCTGTTTGACATTCATAAACTTGTTAGCTTTTAATACTTTAATGGAAAAGGTTAAAATCTAACATACCAAACGTGACAAACCTTAAGTGGTATTCTTCATATGGAGAGTAAAACAGTATTTCACGGTTGAATTTAGTTTAGGGTTCAGTCTTTATATCCATTTTACTAACACACTTTACTGTGTTATTCCCACACAGAGTTGCAGAATGCATTCAGCAGATATCTCCAACCTCCGTTCACATGGTTGCCCAGTGACCTTCTTGGTCCCTTGTAACCACTATTCTAATTTCAAATAAACTCTTTTGCTTTTCCTCACATATAAGAGAAATTATGTGAAACTCGTCTTTCAGTCTTTCAGTATCTACCTCATTTCACTTAATACCATGTCACCCAGTTCCATTCATTCTAGTGCAAATGAAAGAATTTTATTCTTTTGGGTTTAACAAAATTTCACTCCATCTATACATCACATTTTCTTGTTTAACTCATCGCATAGTAGACACCTAGGCTCAAGATATCCCTTAAATACTGATAATAATGCAGTGATTATGCAAACATCTTCATTATACGTAGACTTTATTTCCTCTGAGCCTATGTCAAGGGGTGGGCCGTTTCTTCAGATTGTCATGTTTTTCTTTTTAAATTACTTACAGTCTATTCACACTGTCACTTTTAAACTGATTGGC